GCAGAGCTTCACCTCATTCACTAAGCTAAGGGACTATTCCCCTGCAAAGTGAAAATTCCCTTTCACAATGAACAGTGTATTTGCCTTTAGTAAATAAACCCCTGTATAATGACCCTCTAACAGAGATCTTAAAGCTGAACTCAAGGCAAACAGTAACAAAAACATGTAAAGCACATTTATGGTTGTTGTTTTAACTCCCGAAGGAGATGTATTTTTGTCCATCCACTTCTGAGATTTACGCATATCTGTTACACAGCACAGTTCTACTTGGTGGGGGGACACCTGATTTTTCTCTGCTGTAGCTATATAACACTTACAGATCTTGTCCCCCTCCCAGCCTGTGACCGGACAGTGAGAGGAGACACAGAAGACTGGTGAGCTCACCTCTATGCTCTCTCCACATATCAGCATGCCCCTTGTTAGCCCATGATTGGTTGCTTCTGTTGCTTTTCCCTCCATTTCCCTCCAGTCCAAGCACATATGTACAGGGGATTGCAGGAAGCTGAAACCAACTCCAAATTAGATACTTATACTGCTTGCATTAAAAAAATTGGATTTTTGTATTCACCATAAAATCATTTTCTTGGAGTCCATTGAAGGACACATTTTGATGATAATAAGCAGCCTAGTGGTATGCTGCTGCTGCTGCTTAGGTTACTTATTATCATCAAGCTGTGTCTTTCAATGAACGTTAGAGAAAACACATTTAATGATGTGATCATGAATACAGAGCTGCATTATTTTGTGTCTGGCTCACATTTAGCTTAAAACTGTTTGAATCATACACAGTATAACAAGACACCATTATTTTAAAGAAGAACATATTTCTTTCTGAAAAACTTGCGGCTGGTACATTAAAACAATATTTTGTAACATTCTCAATGGCTTAAAATAAGATTCCCTCTTCCAATTAGTAACGTAAAAGTTTATATTTTCTAAGAGAGATTCAAGCTAACAGGTTAAAGCTCTCCATTTCATCCCGTAAGAGTGCAGGCAGCATGATGACATGTAAGTTAGTGGGTAATCCTTCTACTAGCAGAACCGAAGGGGTGCTGTACAGGCTATTCACTATAGCCCTGAGCCACGCTGAAGGCCGAAGCTGGCCGAGCGGCCGGCCATTGGCCGGCCGACAGCCTGCTTCTGACAGCTGGGCGGAGCCAGCCGTGATCTTAGGGCTGGCTCCGGCCACTTGCAGAGAGATCAGCGTCCCTGGTTACCAGCTAACCAGGGACACTGATCTCCAGACAGCAAACTCTCCCGGGCGCTCCGGAGCCGTGTCAGAATAGAAAAAAAAAATCCCCACTCTAGCCTTGTATGGTGACAGTGATGCTAGTGTCACTACTCAGCTGGACACCAGTTCTCAGACTCCAGTAGATACCCAGAAAGTTCTTAAAGTGGAATTAAACTCAAGATATTAACTTTCTCCCATATTCAAGCATGTTGCACACACTTTTAATATATACCTTGAAAATCCATCATAGCCTTGTGAGCTTGACATGCTGGGAATGAGGAGAAAACATTGGCCACTGAAGTATGATAATAAATCAATCCGCTCTTGCTTCTTTTGAACATTATCTTCTTTGTGAAGGCCCCCCCACTTCTCCTCCTCTAGCTCCTCACTCTTCCCTACTCCAGCCTTGTATGGTGGCAGTGATGCTACTGTCACTACTCAGCTGGACAACAGTTCTCAGACTCCAGTAGATACCGAGAAATTTCTTAAAGTGGAATTAAACTCGAGATTAAACTTTCTCCCATATTCAATCATGTTACACACACGTCTAGTATATACCTTGAAAAACCTTCATAGTCTTGCTGATCAGGAGAAATCGCCATTTATTATTGTTTGTTTTATGGAACACTGGCCAAGCAGTGACTGCAGAGTGCCTATGCTGTGACAATGTAATCCACAATCTGAGGATGAGGCACTCCTACTGTAAATATACTGTAACCTTCTTTCTTCCTAAAGCCCCATATGACTAGCAATGTCACTTGGGTTGTTCACTTGCTACAATACAGTAAACATTGTAATGCCATGTATTCTAGTGTTCTCATTTTGTATCTGTTAGATATTTCTAATTGGCACAAGATTTTTTTTAATATTTGTTTATATTTCTTATGAATGCTGTTGTGAGTTTTTCTGGTGGAAGAATAAAGGATTTCATTCCATTTCCAGGTTTGAAAAAGAGGCCCCTGGACATCCACCAGGACCCTAGACATATCCTTAAGGCACCTTGTGGGTGATCTGGCCCTTATGGTAAATATGGCACTGCCTCAGAATATGGCAACCTTTATCGGTGTAAAATCAAAATGTGAAAATGCTTTTTAAAGAGAAAAAGCTAACTCAGGCATGACGATCACTTCATAAAATTATTGGTTTTGAATAAATATGTACTGTGTAAAGAAATGCTAAATAAATGACAACTGTGAAGACGCTCTTCAATTCATTTTGTCACTTATAATTTTCAATATTTAGACATTTGCCAAGAAAATATTCTTTGTATGAAGCCATGTTATTTGTTTAACAAGAAATGTTTCAGACATATGAAATGAATATAAAATAATTAAAAATGGTATTCAAAACATATAAAACATTTTGCAAATAAAACCGTCAAGTCATATATAGTTCAAACATAAAAATAAACAAATATTTGTGTTTCTGGAAAATTACAAAACATAACTTTTTATGCCAGGAAATTAGATCCTGTGAATTCTAGCATGTGGCTGAAAATGCCAGGCTTTTGTGGTAAGGAAAGCGGAAGAGCCTGGAAGTCTGGATTGTGAAATAATCTATCTACCAAGCTAAAAGTTTTATTTGCTTATAACTAAGCTGTATGTTGAAACAGGTGCAAGTCCTCCCTTTACAATAAAAAGCCATGGTGCAGGTATGGGAACTCTTCATTTATCTGTGATTATGTTTTTCTGTTAAGATAATCAATCGTAAATTTGCAATGATGGGAGGAGCTCATTAAAGTGGTTGTCAAGAATTAATCTGTATCAAGATGCTAATTGCAAGTCATCAAAAGCTGTAATTGGTTACAATCTAAACAGGTTATTCAGAAAAGGGAAGCAATATTTCTAACTCAGCACACTGGTGGGCAAGAATTTGGACTTCATGGAAAGCCAAAGACTGAAACATTTTAGTGTATATGTTCGCTTCTGATGCCAACTGGTCAGTAAAGAAGCCTTTGCAACATAAGTACATACCAAAGGGCTAGAGGTATCCACAGAGCTTTGTGGAATGTCCTGCAAACAAGATACTCCTACAGCTTGATGCATCTACAACTATTTAGGTATCTGTAGTTTAATGCATGTGAGCTAAGTCAACACCTGCCTTAGCACTGGTACCGCTATGCAAGAGTCAAGGGCATTATAGTGTAGAGACCCACCTGCACGCTCATCACTGCCACAGGAATATATTTATTACGTTTTATATTTTCCTAGAAAAGCTCTTTAAAGGGTAAGTCCATCCAGCCCTGATATTTTAGTTTTTCTTAGATTCTAGGGAGTTAAATCCTCCAACAGTTTCTTTTAACTTTGGGGTACTGCAGTAGTGATATATCTGCCTTTGAATTCTTGGGTCTTACTCTTCACACCTGCCATGGCCATTGCAAGGGGGGTTTTAATTCTATATTATGAATACAACAAGAGAAAAATACAACATGAGCAGGAGCATGAAAGGATTGACTTCAAAATGGGCAGGAACATACCCAGGAACCGTGAAATGGATATCTCATGGTTGGAGTCCAAAAGAGATATAAGGAGCCAGCATATGCTTTGGCCTGGCAGCTTTCACCAATTATTAAAATATAAGGTTCTGGGTAGGCTGACCCTTTAAAGAAGAGCAATTGACTAAAATTCAATGTTTAAAATGTAAACATACCAGATATGAAAGATGTTTAGAGAAGAGAGATTTGGAAACAGTTGCAATCACACTTGATTATAATTTTAGGGCACTGTAGTGATTTGGAGTTACAATAGCTTCCAAAATGCCTTTCTTGTTGAACAGTAGCTACCAAACACACACTTAAAACACTCTCAGTCACATCTTATAACAAATAGACAAATACAAATTATTGCTGTTGTCTTAGAAGACTGTCTCCCAGTCAACTACATATACACAAGTATAGGTCATACACTTGTAAGAACTTTGCTTAGAAAACCCACATTATTTGCTAATTTGGATCATCTACTAAAATCATTTTGAGAATAGCTAAGGAGCACAATTTCTTGTGAGTATAAAGCAGTAGGTGAGATATGATACTGGTGGAATACATGAAAGAGAACTAAACCCAGCTGTATTTTAGATATACAAATCCGTTTTAGTATAACCTACTCATTGGGAGCTACAATTTTGCTTTGAAAAAGAAGAATTTAATACTTTAGGTGGTGAGTGCTCTGGAATACGTTATTGGTATAAACCTCTTTAGTGCCTCCAAACTAGCAGGACCTAAAGGAGACACCATGAGCATTTCAGTCTTCATGTACTGCAGTGGCCACTGTCAGCATTAAAGCCTGATGGAGAAGTTGTTCTTTAACCGTCAATGAGGAAATTTAATTGACAGATTAAGTGGGGCAGCAGCTGCAGCTGGAAAAAAAACACTGCATGCTGTGGAATCTTCGGGTGATGCTGACCCATAGGCACAGAGGTATTAGATTAGTACCTCTGCCATTCTGCATCTAATCCTATTAATTCTTTATCCAAGAATTTTCCTTTGGGAGAAAAAAAAACAGGTCCCATATTTACAGTATTTTGACTTAGGGCTTCCTCATAGGAATAGAACATATCTATAACTGGCTACATATTGTGGTAACCCTATGGTTTTTTTTCAGGAGTTTTGAAGTAATGCAGTCTATAGCTTTAGAAGGTATCTACAGCTGGAGGAGCTCCAGACATGCTTATCAGCTGATGAGATTACTGACCATTGTAAAATAGCCTTGTGCCTAGTAACACACTTGCTTACCAATCATATAGCATAGTACTTACATACATAGTACTTTTTCTTAAAAGTTGGGAACATTTATAAAATGCTAGGGTTTTGATATATAGAAAGCTGCTTAAAAGCTAACAAATGAATATTTGATTTAGGTTTGTAAACAGTACTTGAAAAACAGTCACAAGGTTTTTGTTTAACATTTTGTTTGCACAGCTACATGCACCAGTTCTCAATCTCATAAATATCCCCGACTGTGATTTTAATCCCCATTAATGGAGGAACAGCTGACTCAGTACAATGGCCAATAAATCTACAAATTTGTACAGAAAAAGCCCTAAGTTAACCAGTGGAAGAAACAGTTTTCATGTACATTAATAAAAGATTATGATTACTATGCATTGTAGCAACCATAACATTAATACTAAGTATTAATGGCTCCTATTCAATAAAGTATGCTGCTGCATCCTATGTAGGGAAGACATCTTTGTTGATTACTGTGTATTGAATCTAAAATCTTCCAAAACAAAGGAAAGCCTAGATCATACTCTATTAAGTTTTTGTGCATCATTACAGAGATTATTCATAGGATACAAGCATTGGTGGCAGTACAGGGTTACATTTCAATCAATAATCTGGCAAAAAAACTGAATTTTAAAAGTCATTAGGTTGATTAGGATTTCTTAAAGCCTGGTTCTTTCTGCCATTCACAGCAATGGTAGAGCTGATTTTAAGTGTAATGTGCTGTCAGCCACCACCCAGCAAATGACTTGCTCTTGTATCAATCAAAACAGCGTGCTGCCCAGTGCCACTAGGTAGTAGGCTGGTGCCATGCCAACTTTGTTTAGTTTCACATCCCATGGTGGGTTCTTCATTAAAAACAAGCCAAAAAGGCTTGATACTGTATCCAACCCACTGGAAGATCAGATGCTGATGGCTTTAAAACAAACAACTGCATTGTTCTTTCCAAACATGAACTTATACCTCAGTAAACCATCCTAGGTCTGACCGAAAGAAATAATTTATATAGATTTATTCCTTTAAAAAATAAATAATTCTTCCTGGACAATGGTCAAGCTGTCTGTCCATCTACTATAAAACAGACTCCATGTTTTCGCACCATTCGTGGTCTTCAAGGTTATAGATGAATTTTGTCCTGTTCGTTTTCTTTTGGGCGATAGTGTCTCTGCCCAGGTTATCTAAGGTCAAAGTCGATGCAAAAAATTCACTTGTCGTGAGCCCTCCCACGTGGTTTTTGATGTACCTCTTATAATTTTTTCTTAAGCAATGCCATGTGGTGGTATACAGGATAAATGCTAAAGATTTCAGTGTTATAGCAATGCTGACATAAAGGTATCTGTAGGCAACATTATCATATAGCGCACAAGCTCCCTGCTCCCCACAAAACGTGCTCCAGAAGAGGCAGGTGGAATCAATCCCAGCTCCAAAGATCAGCGGTGGAGGGATAAAGCCTATAAAATAAAGAAGATTTTCATTATTCATAAATTGTAACACTGTATTGTGGAATATCTATAGTGTTAAATCCTTCAAGAGGATGCAAAGGAATATATTTTAATGCTGGGTTAAAAAATAATCACACATTTCCTATTCTAGCTGATATCCTCTTTCCCAACAATTTCAGCATAGCATATCTACAACATCACTGTTTCCAGATCTTTACTGTATGAACCCTTGGCGGAAATCTTCTGATACCAATTCATGCGGTCGTCTCAATTCACATTAATGGAAAGTCCATCTACTGTACAGTCTGATAGACTAATAGAAAAGCTTTCCATTTAAATGAGTTAAGGCCACAAAGTGGTACAGGTGGGGAAGAGGGTAGGAAAAAAGAAAGTGAACTATCCTTTAACATGGCGGCATTTTTTATGTTCTACCTCCAAAATCAGTGTTAGAGACTTTGACCCTAATTTACTAGAAGAATAGAGCATGTTCACTTCCAAAGTGAATTTTCATTTATCTTAGTGAATGAGGTGAAACAAAGTTAAAATTCACTTTGCAAAGAATTCCAAAGCCCATGCAAGAATTTTTTTTTTAAAGATGCATGATTGGGTGTTTTTTAAAAACGGAATTTTTACTTTATTTCACGTCATTGACTAAGATAAGTGAAAATAAACTTTGCATAGTGAAAATTAACTGTGAAAGGGAACATGCTCTACTACTTTACTAAATCAATGCATTTGTCAAGGAAAAAAAAATCTGCAGGTATAAAGTGCAGAACACAGAGGAGCCTGCAACAATCTCTATAAGCATGCAGTTATGGCTGAATACTAGGCCATTCTGAAAAGTAAATCTCAGACACTTCTGGCTAATGTCAAAGATTGCCAATATCTCGTGCCCCCTGGTTCTTCTTACTGGCCCATCACTATGAAGGTCTGCCTAACCGATCATGAGGAATGCAAACGAGGTGCAAAAGCAGGCAAGCAATCAGAAAGTGCCGGAGCTTTGCCTGTCAGAACAGCCCAGTATTCGGCCATAAGCCTCAGGTGCTTGAAGACTGCTGCCGTTTTGTGTATGTATCTCTGTACAAGTGTATGCACTTTATTTCTGCAGCAGCTTTTTATTTCCATGGCAATCTCTTTGAACTGGGGGCTTTAGCCATGCTAAAAAGAAACCAGTATCCACCAACAAGGTTACTGGTCAGGAAGTCAGCTGCCTGCAAGAAAATGTTTCCCCGTTAATTACAGCAATTAACTTCTGCCTGAATTAATTCTGACATGCTGTTGAAATGTTTTCAAATCCATCTATAAATATTTTACATGTATAGAACAATGTTTATATTTTAGGTTTATTGGTGCCTTTTAACTTGCTTTTGTTTATACTTGCATATTCACTCCCATGGGGGATTTGCAAGAGAAGCCAACTAATTTCCCAGAAGCCTTTGCAATTATAACTCTTATGCACCCCCTGCAGAAAAAGAGGTTTTGTGTTTCAGCTGAGAAGTCCTCATCGGCTTATTAGTGCTGTTCTGCCCGTGGCTCAGCTGTGTAACATCAGAAGAGAGCTGGTGAGGACTGTGCACAGTTGCATGCACTTCATTATCCCTATAATCTTCAGATATAAAGATCACACTCGTAACTGGAGGAAAGTAGTCTTACTCCTGTACTATCTCAAAAAGTCAACATGTTGTTTCCGCGTTTTTGTCAACAGCACAAACTTTGCCTGTAGCAATGAAACAAATATCATACTTTGTCAGCAATCTAGAATACACTACAGTTAGCCCTGCAGGAGCTCCGTAAGAAAAATATCTGAAGGCAAGAAAAAATTCTGAGTTCCTTTGTTCATAAAGGAGCTAAATTCAGTTCATAATCTGCTAAACATCATAGAGCCCCCAGAGTACATTTGAGAAATGGGAAGTAGGTGACCTAGTTGTCATAACTGCCAGATACGGTAGCTAGTCGTGGCGTCCTGCCTGCCAAGTCTCATTAATATTCAGTAAGTCTTTGTGATTTGGATTTGTCTCACTAATTTCTACCTTCACATAATTGGGTTTTGGCCATGGATAATCAGGATGTTGTCATAATTTTTATTCTTTTAAGAGTTCAAAAAAATGTGGGAATGAAAAAATGAAAAAGAGATCCCTTCTTATAGTGCTTTGTACAGTGTCATACGGGCCATTGCATCTACCAATAGATCCTCTAGAACACCCAGGCTCCATACACAAGATGATGTTTACTATGAAAGAGATGAATTTAAGTAATGTCAGGGTTAGTGCATGAGGAAGAACGAGAAAAGAAGCTCTAGTGTGACTAGCAAGGGTAGCCTTTTATCAAAACTATACAACAGTATGAAATTGCTAAGTATTTATGATCTTCCTTCCTTCCCATGTGTCACAAAGACTGTGGGACTTTGAAAATTGATGTATGTGTGCACAGTATATTTTATAAACGCAGATTGAAGGGATCCTTCACTGTAGGAATAAGGGGAAACTCAACTGGAAGGTAATAGGGACAACTGAATACTCAAAATCCCTTTATCTCATGCAGCTTTACAACATTTAAGACCTATTTGTGACTTTATGTGAGCTTCCTGGAGATAAAGCCTAAATACCATTTTCTGGGATGATCCTTTTTTCACTACAAGAAGTATACTTACAAATTATGTTTTTTGTTTTTTTTTTGTAAATGATCTAACTTCCTTATCAGAGCACGGGAAAAACATGATCCCTTACTCTAATGGGGAATCCCAATAAGATTCACTCATTCTACAGCTGGAAACAATAGAGCAGACACGGAGAGACATTTTCCCCCTAGAATTTAAAGTGGAACTATAGTAAGAATAAAATAAAAGATATGATGAATTGTGTCAGTAACATTAACCTTTTTGTTTTTCTGAGTCCTCCCTATGATGGCCCGTTCACACCAATGCACTGTGTTAACACATGTGCTACTCAAACGTAAAACGTGTGATGTGTGTTGGTGCTCTGTGACGCTATTTATTGTGCTGCTCTGCACCACAATGCCCAGTAACACCTTACTGTGCTTTGCTGTACACCGCACTAGCAAAAATGAATCAGGCCCAATTAATGGTCCATTTTGGTGCATTAAGCAGCACATATAAAAGAATATGCTGCCTTAATGCAAAGCACATTAATGTGCAATGTAACAGGCTGTGATAAACTATTTAAACACTTGGCTGCTTTAAGGTGGCCATACACTTTACAACCCTCGCAAGACTTTTGTCTTGCGAGGGTTGTAAAGTAATTTTAAAAAACGTACGATCTGCCTATCTTGGACAGGCAGATCGTACTTGCGATCATCGCAAGCCCACCCCCCTGAGGGGCGGGCTTCTGATGACTGCAATGAGGGGCGGGCTCCGGATGATTGCAAAGGGGCAGTGTGTGTGTGCGCACACCTGCCCGTTCGGCAGTTGTCCAACAAGCAGGCCACTTACTCGCCGAGAATCGTACGATTCCCAGCCGGTTTTCCAGCCTGCTTGTTCAATAGAAGACGTGCGACCGTACAGTAGAAACGGTTGCACGCCTTCCATACACTTTGCGATTATCGTACGATCGCAGGATTTCCCGCGATTCTCGTATGATAATCGTACAGTGTATGGGCACCTTTACAATGGTCAGTTGATTTGTATTTTTAGCGAATATTTCTTTTTTTTAAATCAACTGTTTTCATTAATCAGTGAATCAACTGAATCATAACTCTGTACAGATGTGTCTACTTATGTTGAGTGTTTGGTATTTCAGAAGAGAGATTATTATTAGCAAGTTATCTTGCTTTTCATGACTATTGTTATCATTGCTACTATCCATTTAGCTCTCAAACCATGAGACTATAGGGGTCTATTCACGAAGCTGCCGAAGGATCTGGCCGTAGCTTCGGCCGATCCTTCGAGATTTGGAAATCTGTACCACCAGTGTAAACATGCTAAACGTTTTTGTAAACACTGACTAACTAATGTATAATGGTCATTGTAGATACAGGCTTATAGAGTCTTGTAAGGATTGGCCACTTTTAAATTTTTCATCCTATTTATTGCCTGGCAACAGCAAAAAAATTGACATAAAATTATATATTTACTTTATGTGGAGTCATTAGTATAATTCTAATGGGTATTAAAAGAATGAACAATCATTTACTTTCAATCCTGCTGCTGAAATGCAATATTCAAGGGCTTAAAGCTTATACGCCTACCACAGTGTATCATTATGTTTTTCTGTCTGCTTCTGGAAACACATGTACAAAATTATTGCTCAATTATTATAATTGCAAACATCACCCACAATGGAGCACAGATGACAAAAAAAAATCATCTTTGGGATCTCTTAACATCTCTGAGTTAGTTTGTGCTTTTTTTTTTTTCATTGGATATGGAAGGTATACTGTATATAGAGGTATAAGAAACATTGTAATGTATAAGCTTAAAAAGATGTAAAAGTCCAATAAAATGAATACAACGTAGATTGCATAAAAAGAATGAGGGATTCAGCTGTTTACTATAGTAGAAAATATATGACATAAAGCTATACCGGAGCTGTAGAGATTTTCTTACATACAGCAGACATCTTATCAATAATCCCATGAAGGACATCACAGTCAAAGTTTTTTTTCATACTTTTATAAAATAACAACTGAGGAAAAAATTGAAAGTTTTCTTGAATTAACTTTGACCTATGTTTGGAATGATATCATCACTTTTCAGTATGGTCATTTTTATTTTATATAGGACCAGAATGGGCAAGACTGCATTGCAGTGCTTGCAGGTGGCAAGTAAAAAGGGAGAATGAGGGTCAGGCATGGTGGTCACAGCTAAGGGAGGACATGCAGGTACAGTTAGGAGGGGGATGGAGGTGGTGTTGACATGCAGGCACTATGGTTGACATGCAGGCACTATGGTGGGAGATCAGTTGCAGTAGTGAGAGAGGAAGGGCAAAGAGGAGAAGGGCCGCAGGTGAGGCGAGGCAGTGGGAGCAAGGATGGAGAATGGAAACATGTACTGT